ATACTAAAACAAAAAAAAATTATATCATTTTAAAAAATTTAACCGATAAGTTTTATTGTTCATGACTCAAGCTTCAATACTTATTGGCTGGTTTTTTCTTAAACTGAAAATTGGCTGAGCCTTAGTATTTTGAAAATTCCGAATTTTGTTATACATTTATACACTTAAGAAATTGAGACAAAGTAAATTTCGTGTAACAACTTTTTTTTCATATAATATTTTCTACAACATACATTTGATTTATTTGACTTATTTATTTCCTTTTTTTTGTTAATACATAAAAGTTCTTTACAACAAAAAAGTTTAACGAACATATTTAGAGATGTTCTGCGCATGAAAAAAAATGCAATGCGCATGATTTTTTTTCAAATAATGCAATGTCACATACAGAAAATGCGGAAATTAAATTTTACCCAATTAAAATTAAACACGCATTTTTACATTTTAATCATTAAAATTACCCGTAAAACATTTATACTATTTTTTAAAATGACAAATTCAGACATTTGGTCTCATTTTACCAGATTGGGTAAAGTTAGTGGTTATAAGCAAAATAGAGCAAGTTGCAAATATTGTAACTATGATTTAAACGAAGCTCTTGGAAGGTGTAAACAACATTTGAAGAAATGTAATTTTGTACCTGTTTCTATCATGCAATCTATATTTGGACGAACCCATCCAATAACATCATCATCATCACCGCCATTATCATCATTATCATCATTATTATCACCATCATCATCAACTATTTTCTTAAAAAAAATTAAAAATTTAAAAAAAAAAAAAATGCACTGCATAAAATGCGCATGATGCGCATGAAATTTTGAAATTTCATGTCATTTGTCATTGGAACTGGAATTTAACATCGCTGATCAGAATCAATTGCTAATATAAATTGATTTAGTAATTAAATTTAGTAATTGTAAATTGTATTTTTTTATTACATATGACCAATAGTACCAATATTTATTATAAAAGATAAATGGTAAAAATACTAATGTATGCTGAGACATTTGGAAAGTTTTCACAATGTAAATTAGATATTTATTTGATCAAAAAAGTCAATGGAAAGCAAACCCTTCAGTTGAGACTGAGTTAAGGATAACCATCCAGATTTTGATGTGAGTATCAATGGTGATTCTCCTCATATTGTGGCTACTCAAAAAGATTTTCCAGACAAGATTTTTGTAGTGCCTGACTATAAGATGAACAGAGAAGTCCAAGCTCCTAATATCTACCATTTGAAAACTAGTGTCAGTGATCTAAAATACCAAAACTTTACCAAAGGAGCTGCTGAGGAATATAAAAACAATACTTCAAAAAATTTGATAGTAAATCTATTTGGTCATGACTAACAGGTATAACTCTAATCTTAGGTTTTATGATTGCTATAATTTATGTTGCTAAAGGACTAAAAAGAAAAAATAGATAGATAAAATATTGTAATAATAAGATTATTTTCCTTCTAAGGATTTCTGCTTTTTGTTAGGTAATAGCATACTTTCATTCTGCTTTCTTTTTCTAACATTTATTATTTTTCTTTCTTCTTGGTAAATTTCATAGGTAATTCTTTCTTTTTTTAGATAAGCTTCAAGTGTCTGAGTATCATTTATTTTGAAAACATAAGGAGCAATTTTTTCACCTTGTTCCTTTTTTAAAATACTTCTAATGGTGCTGTAATTCTTTGGTTCAATAGTAGATCTGATATAAATGAGTTTCATATTAACTATTTTTGTCTAGATGAATATCATGATCACATTACATTGGTAATACAATTGTGACGTTAAACAAACATTATTGATCCCTGAAATTTTTGGTAATACCAATGTTCACTTTGTCTGGTTTTGTTGCAGCATGCCCCATATGCAATAATTATTATGTATAAAAAATATCGGTGAAAAATATTGATTACATGAAATGAAATTATTATGTGCTTGTATAAACATAATATTTATATTATTACATTTTGAAATATCAATGTAATGATTCAGGTTAATAACGAAATTAAAACTTCAATTCAAACAGTCAGAACTATTAATGGTATAAGGTAAGTTATTAAGTAATAATAATAATAAATGTAAATAATACAACATGTAATAATGTTTAAAAGAAGATGGAATGAACAATTGAGAAAGCACAAAAGAAAAGTCATTTTTACAAAAATATTGATAAAAAAAATCTTTCATACAATAAATATCACCACCACAAATAAGCATTAATTAATACAATTTTACTGTTATTTTTCTCTAGGTATGATACTTTATACCTCTTGTTTTATTATTGTTGATAAGTAGTCCACCACCATCAGAAGAAGGCTAAAAACAGCAACAACATGAACAGAATCCACAATCTGCACATTAACAAGTTTTCTTGGTTCCAAATTATATTGTTACATATATATTTGTGAGATTTATAACAAAGGTTAAAGTCACTCCAGAGTTTCCAGCCCTGGATTTATATCTCAATCAAATACTGAATTTGTATGCAATCTGTAAAAAAAAAAAAAAAAATACAAAATGTTATTTTTAAGAAAATTATTTATTATATTGAACATACTTGGAACAAAACCAGACAAAGTGAACATTATTTCACATAAAGATTTCAGAGTTCAAAATAATGAGTGCTTTATCTTTTATTATACATATAGGATTATCTTTATAATGCATCACTCACCAACAAAGAAAAACATTATCTACAATAATATTACACATTCAAGGTGAATAAACCTGATGATATTGATCATAGGTGACAGGTTTAACAAAGTTTTCCTACTACAAATATGCAAACTTGATGCAATCAAGCAAAGTTATAATTTATTATATGTAGACCATATGCAATAGTCATCTTAAACATTAGAGTGAAATGGTAGGAATGTTTGTGTTATTGAATTGATTTTTATTATAAATGAATAAGTAAACTAGAAAAAATTCATTTTTATTGAGTTAAGTCTTATCAAGTTCCAACTGCAAAAGAATTACTACTTAAAAGAACATCCAACAAGTGAGTTAGTGATGGTTAGTACCTGCAGAAAGGGAAAAACAAATTCCATCACTGGCTCCAAGGAGAGGGGAGGAACAAAAAGAGAAAAGTTCAAAAAAATTTCAGGAACTCTCTGACTACAAATATTCTCATCATATACAGCATTCTAATATTTATCATGTAAAACTACAATTAGTGATTTAAAAGATGAAAATTTTGCCAAAGCATCAACAGAATATAAAAAAAATGCTTCAGAGAATGAAGAAAAATTTGATGGCAAATCTATTTGGTTATGAATAGCAGATACAACTTTAATCTTAGGTTTTTATGATTTATGTTGCTAAAAGGACTAAAAGATTCATTGCATTTTTATTTTCCTTCTAAGGATTTCTGTTTTCTAATAGTGGTATAATTCTTGGGTTCCATAGTAGATCGGATGTATATAAATGAGTTCCTTTTTATTATATAGGATAATTCGATATTACTTGATAATAATAATGATGACTGAATCATTCAATCACTTTTGGATAATAACCATAACCATAACAATAATAATATCAATCATATAGATAGACAAACAATAATG